GCGTGAGCGTGAAGAACGTCAAATAAATCAATATCAGAACGTGAAATAAATTAATAACTGTACTTGTGATTACGCATTTACGAATTACGCATGACTCACGGGCCAAATAATGTACATTTGCATGGCCAGCTAATGTAATCACGAGCTTGTCGGAGCCTCAGTCAACTTGTCTAAGATGATGGCTGGAGAGTTCGAAGGGGAGGCGGCCAAATTTAGATCAGTCAGGATTTCACCTAAAAAAATCAGTGAATGTAATGAGATCTACGGTTAAAGAAAGAAGCCAAGTAATGAGATATACAGTGAATGAAAGAAGGCAAGCAAGATATTAGTTTTATCGTTTTTAGACATATAATACAATGAGTGTTTATTGAATTGAATTGAATTGAATCAAGCATCGATTATTTAGATAGCCTCCGTGATAAAACGAGGTAAATATAGCAGCTTTTAATTTAATATAATCTAAATATACTACAAAATCAGTGAGGGAACGTACTAATAGAAATGAATATAGGCCATTAAAGAAATCACACTAAAACTGACAAGCGGTTAGGAAGCGGAATATTAATAAAATAAGATGCCTATAGAGGTATAATGAGAAGCTACGTGTTCAACATTTGAACACGTAAAACATTCGATGGCATTCATCTCGACATTCATAATTTTATCGAAACATTGGAAAACCATTTCACGGAAGTATTAAAATATTACTGGGGCTATTTCGAGATTAATGAGACGCAACATGTCATTCTGGTAGACCAGACATAAGTGTCGCTATACTCATGGACACGGGAAAGAATTAAAATTATTTTCAACCAGCTTTTACAGTTTCATGCAAGTCGAAAATAATTTATGATCACGGGAAATTTCGATCATAACTATAGAAATTGCATGATAAAATAAATGAAAACATCGGTGTATTCATTAATCTATCATGCACTAATTCATTGGCATATATTGCTCGAGAAAATGAGTGAAAACCTCTATGTTTTCATTCATTGCTCCTACACCTGCACCATCCTATTTTCATTTCATTTATCTATATTAAGCAACCGTTGCACGCCGAAATTCATCGGCAAATATTGCAGCGGAAGAAAAGATGAACAGAGACCATGAATGCTCAATCAGAGAGAGTATAGAGCAGCGGGGGAGCAAGCTCGGCCAGTCGTGATGGAAACTCAGTCTTGACACGCAAGCTTGTCCGTCCCTTGGCAGATATGTTTGTGAGAGAAACGCTCGCACATTATCCTGGATACAATGTTGATGTTACCCGACATGATTTCAGCATGTATTTTCCCACCATTATATAACGTGCATAATTCGAGCATGAAGTAGGATACGAAATTTTCAAAGTTTGTTCTCCCGAGTATTTTCCGATCATTATATAACATGAATAATTCGAGCATGAAGTAGGATACGAAATTTTCAAAGTTCGTTCTCCCGAGCATTTTCCGACCATTATATGAAATGCATAATTCGAGCATGAAGTAGAATACGGAATTTTCGGATTTTGTTCGCCAGCATTTCTAGATTTTCGTAGTGTTCTTGTCTGGATGAATTTCCTTTCTCACGCAATACCTTTTCATTCATCGCGGTTAGGAGTGTCTGGAGGCGCGCAAAGATGGAGTGACTGAATGTAACACAGATACGAGCACATGCTCGAGTTCTGCAGCAGTCAAAATCTCATGTTATTCATTCGAGGAAAAGCTATATCTGGGCTTCCTAACATAATAGGCACTAATCAGTTCCCAAACCCTCCTCAGGTCAAAATGAAGGAAGTGGTGTTTACGTGTTGGAAAACGCACACAAATTCTATTAAATCAATATTCCCGGGTTACACTTTTCCCGGGAATTTCATATTGATGCATACTGAAGCCTGCATATCTAAACTTGTCATGTGCCAACAGGCGTCATTAACTTTGTCTATGAGTTGATCAGCTATATACGCTGCTAACCTGTACCAAGTGTCAGAAGCTGAAACGGAGCAGGTAAAAGTAGCTTGTGTATCACTGCGTGATATGTACAAGTCTGCTGTGCGTGTCGATGATGACTTTTTAGCGGCTTTCCGCATACTAAATGAGAATAGAAAGAGAATGACCGGTCTAGCATCAAAAATTAAATTCGATGGTCGAGATGTCTGGTCGCAAAAATCCCCTATATGTTGGACCGAACGATTGCAGTGTTCAAATTTCGCGCGTTTTAGTCCAAGTAATTAATAATTAATTGAAACCAAACATAATTTCTATTGAAACAAACACTGGGAGATCATCTATGATGAAAAGATAGGCGTTTGCATCTACTTTAAATGCCGGAATAGGAATTCCTAAATAAGAAGGAAACTATGAATTTAATAGCATACATTCTCGAACGAATCATGTCGATATCGCTGCACAGATAGGTAAGTCTCACACCATGAGCACTCGTGTGCAAATTCATCGCCGGGTTATCGGCGGCAAATCAAAGGCTAATGGGCGTTAGAGTAGACAGGGATTTCACGTACAGAAAATTTTTTTCTCAGACTTCTAGGTTCCATATAGCATTTCTTTGTAATTAACATTTGTGTAATGCATGACTGAATGAATACATGTCCCGAAAACAGACGAATATCAGGCGGCGGAACACGACGTTCGTGAAGGTTATCATGCTGGGCCTATACTTTCAAAAGAAGTTAAGAGATCGTAAGTTCATCAGCTAAACATTGACGGCCTTTCAAGCAAAATCCACCAATCACAGACAAGAAAATAGAGCGTAAGTACTTAGCGCTCTATTTTTAAGGTCCCATTTAATAGTTTATTTTAAGTATGGTCCCAGGTTATTTTGGTGGCGGCTTGAGTGTGTGACAATTGCAGTGGGCTGGATCAATTGTGAAGGTAAATATTTGGATTATTTTGGAATTGTCTCCTGGGTGGAGGAACACGTTGTGGTTATCTTTGAAATGGTTAATCAGCCGCACAACTTTCAGTGCAGGACAAATTTTCCCAAAATGGAAAGAAAGCTCATGATTATAATGAATTATTATGAGTCATAATCTCATAACTGTGTGTTAATTTCCCGTCGTGGATAACGAACGACGAGGCAGCAATATAATCGATAAGTGGATATGTCAACTGAACTTAACTTGCCACACGTCATGCGTCAACTGGACTATAGGATATAAGTTGACAGATATCATGCGTCAATTGGACTATATGGGATATGAGTTGACAGATATTATGCGTCAACTGGACTATAGGATATAAGTTGACATATTATGCATCAACTGGACTATAGGATATAATTAATAGATATCATGCGTCAACTGGACTATGGACTACAGGATATAAATTGACAGATATCATGCGTCAACTGGACTATAGGACATAAGTTGGCAGATATCATGCGTCAACTGGACTATAAGATATAATTGACAGATATCATTGACTATAGGATATAAGTCGACAGAGATCATGCGTCAACTGCACTATATGATATAAGTTGACAGATATCATGCGTCAACTAGACAGTTGACTCATGACTTGTCAACGAACACTTGTACGTAAATCAAAACAATGTCTTCTGTATCAAAAGAGAAGTTACACTTTTAGTTTACTAACATAATAAATTCAAATACCATCACCAAGGCACTAGCAGTGAAGCAGCCATGCTGGTGCGTAAGCTGTTTGTAGTCTAAAGTTCACGCAGACGAACAGACGATAGGTTTTTTACAACATCTCTGTAAAACTTTAACAGTGAAATATGAAAAATAACTACGTTTCAGCATTCCCAGGACTTCATATTTATTAGTCAGAGTATTTATATCCATAACCAAATAATCCAATATACATCATTTTACAGATGTAACATATCTACTAGAAGACTACGATCAATTATACGATAAATTATATTAACGGCGAATGATTATCTGATTATAGGATGTGATTGTGCTAGGATAGGAGGCGATTCTACTAGGATAGGAGCTCACGAAAATTTTACAAGGAATAAAGATATAGGGCAGAAACAGTAGGGCGGTTAGGGTAAAATGGGTGTTGCGGGTATTTAAGCAGCTAGGACGTGGGACTGCGGGAGGTGGTTTGTGAACGTGGAGTGTGTTCGGTGTGCAACTTCACTATTCACGGAACAGTGCGGATGACGATAAGGGTATTTGACGAGTGGACCGATTTTTCCCGAGAATTGAAGATAAGATTAGTCGACGAGTGGACAGATTTTCCCCGAAAATTGAAGATAAGATTAGTCGACGAGTGGACCGATTTTTCCCGAGAATTGAAGATAAGAGTATTCGACGATTGGACCGATTTTTTCCGAAAATTGACGATAAGATCATTCGACGAGTGGACCACTTTTCCCCGAAAATTGAAACCACTAGTCACGACGTCCCTTCAGATAACACTAGCCAGCTAAGAAGATAATCGAAAATCTGCACCAGTCAGCCGAGTTAGGAATACCGCCGCAGAGGCGTCGACACCAGGGCCTATACTTTCAAAAAAGTTAAGAGATCGTAAGTCTAGCGATGGTTGGCTAGTGATCGTAGTTACTAGTGGTAGGATTGCAGCGCCAGGGATGGTTTGCTAGTGATCGTAGTTACTAGTAGTTGGAGTGCAGCGCAAGCTGGTTTTTCAGTGGTCCTATAGTTACTAATGATCGGTGTGTGGTACAGCGATGGTAGGCTATAGTGTAGAGGTATTCGTCAACAGCGGTAGGAGTGTGGTTTTCCTTCACTTTCGAAAACTTAGAAACCTTGAGTCTAGTTTCCAATTAGCTACCACGAATTTCATATTTAGGAGATTCAGCTCCCACAGCAAAAATCAATAATAATAGTGATATGCAAACTTCAACTTTAATAAGAAAATTGAAGCTATATACTCAATAATTTTAATCACCGTGACTCCTTCCAGACGTCGTTTTTCGATTGAATTCCTCAAAACGGGCATTAATACATAAGTAATAAATAGGAAACCGAAGCCGATTTATCAGAAAGTGATTTACTAATCAAGACGAGGACGACGATGTCGAGCTCGGGACCTCGAGCGCTGCTATCACCTCTCATCCTGGTGAGAACCTCTTTTTTAGGCTTTTTTTAAGGCTTCTTTTTTTTCGGATTCACTCTTTCGGCCTCTCTTTTCCGATTTTATTTTTCGACCTTTTTCTCTTTTTTTTTCTTTGCTTGTCTTTTTCAGTCTCTCTTTTTCGCTTCTTGTTGCATTGTGATTCGTCCAGTGTTTTTATGACTATAAAATTTTCATATCCGATTTCATCTGTATTGTCAATTTTTAGATTTTTATTCTGAACATGTAATTTGTACAGTAATGATTTAATTTATAATAAGGTCATATCATTTTTGCCATGATCATTCCTTTTCAATAAGAGAACATTATTCGTATTATGCTCACTCAATTCATGAGTATAAGTGGTCTATGGTTTATACTACATCAATCATCATTTTATTTGTATCACATTAATTTCTTTTTGTATTAATAGCGTTTTATTTGTAATAGTATTTTAAAATTTTCATAATGAAGAATTTATTTTTTAAATTTATCTTCGTCATTACGAGAACGATATCAAACATAAATGTCTGATGGTACACCTACAGTGACCTAGAGATCCATGTTATCACCAGTTATAGACGAAAATTTTAATGAATTATGTCTTTCACGATTCGTGACATCAATCGTCACAGACGATAATGTTAATTATTGCGATAGTTCGCATGAGGATTAATGTTATTAACTGTTACAGCGATAACATCGATCAATGTGACCATTAAATCATTCTCCATCTATGAATAACGAGCTTAGCATGAAGCAGATGTATTGTAAAATGGAAAGGCAAATTTCCAAGCAAAATTCCAACGCGAAAAGCTTATTTCCTTGAGCTTATCAGGTACTAGTTTTCTGAGAAAGGCTTCTTCTGCATGTGGCTGACATCCAAACCAATACCTACAAAAAATTATTATTTCAGGCTTTAAATTTAAATTAAAATTGAGAACAAAAAGTAAAGAGTGTGTCGCACGTGACGAAGAACAAACCTGGCAGTTGATTATAGTTAAAGGAAACAATGGAAACTACCAGCCTCATACTGCGACAAATTTATTCAGGATGACTTGACTGTGATGTATATTACGGTCGAATATGATATAATGTTGGAATTAGAACTGGCAATGATCATGTTTCGATCTTGATGATTTGTATTCATTTGCGATTGAAAAATGAAATTCGACGACGAAAATCAAAGCTAAACGTTTTTTTCAAAAAGATCTTCATACCTGGCCATGCATTGCGAAGTGCCATGCACCATTTGCTGCTGCTACGTGAATTTAGCTATGAGCCATTTGTAATACCATAACCTTTGTGATATTAAATCTCTATTTACAATTTTGTTTTTGGAACTGTTGTCCTCCGAAGATATTGGTGAGCATTCTTGTTCTGTCGGTCGCTGCTCTAGAATGTCCAGAGATTTTGGATCCAAATCAAGAGTGTCTTCAGAACGGCGAGATCGTGACGTTCCCAGACAATTGCAATATCATCGTCAACGTATACGAAGACTGCGAGGTGGGATCGTCGCTCTTCACTGTTGCAGGTGAATATTTAATATGTTTCCGTGTTAGATATTCTATTAATGTAACTTGCCCACCAGGATATCGTTAGGAAAAATTGTACAGGTTATAATTTAGATTTAAAACTTCATGTCATGTGTCGGCTGTTATCATCCGTGCGTGTGCTGCGATAAATTATTGTGCATACGCTACGATCATGTATGCGTGTGCTATGATCGTCTGTGCGTGTACTGTGATCAATTGTGCGTGTGCTGTGATCATCTGTGCGTGTACTGCATCAGTTGTGCGTGTGCTACGATCAATTGTGCGTGTGCTGAGATCATCTGTGCGTGTACTGTGAACAGTTGTGCGTGTGTTGAGATTAATTGTGCGTGTGCTGCGATCAAAATGGCGTCTATACTGCAATATATGATAATACGTGAGCCGCGGTATAGAGTGCACGCGTACCGCGATTAATTATATTTGAGCGATCTTGATAACAACCTTGTGTCTTGAGACCTTAACTTTGCATTTTTTCCTCAGGTTCTGCCGTTTCATTTAGCGACACTTCCACCTGCAGAGGAACTATCGCCATTGGCGACACTACAGCGGTTGTGCTGACCAAAGCACTCGATGCTGAACTTTGGAGTTCACCTCCGTCTTGTGTACAAGATATCACAGCCGATGGTGACGTGTTCGCGGCCCTTTTTCAAACCGTAGATGTTGATGAATTTCCGCCTACGCTGATCCAACAGGCGCCTGCGGTCACTCTCTACACGAACGAAAACGTAAGTTATTTATTTTTTAATATTTTACTCAATAAGCTTGTTCAAGCGCAATCAAATTTCTCACACATATATATTATTACTCAAAAGTGAAAGGGCAATGAAGTTTCGCTGGATTGACATTGACGACTGTTTTTATAGTTAATTGGTGTGAGAACTGAAGTCAATAATAGCAAGTTACCCCAAAATTAACGAACAATTTCCAATTAAATGTATCATATTATCGTTGTAATTGCTACAAAGGCCAGCTCCATTGTCAGTTTAGAAATCCAATATCACGAGACAGATGAACTAGATTATGGGTAATCTATATTTACTAATAATTGACAAAGTAACGTATAACTTATTCATTATTAATTTCAAGCGTAAATAAACGTTAGTTTACGTGCCCGTTAGTTCGGACACGTGGTTTTATGATCGCTTTCAAACGGGATCTCACCGTATCGGTGTAAAGTTGCACAGTTGAATGAGGTAGGTATGTATGAAGGTTTTCTGGCTGATTACTTTCTGCTGTGTTTAACCAATGTTAGGTAGAAATGTTTTACTTCATTCAAACGTACGTTGATGCACACGTCGCACAACTGTTTTAATAAACCAGAGAAGTCCCCATCTGGATGGAAAGAATACATATCCATTTACCTAATTTTGGAATCAATTTGGAGTCCAAATGTTTGGATGCAATTCAGACTTCCATCTAAGGTACGCGACAGTTAAGCTTCTTTCGATACAACCAGTGCAAAAGTGAAGGGATATCAATTGTTTCAATAGATGTTCTATAATTTTTCTCGCGTTCTATCCTTCAGAACCAGCCGGGTTTTCTGTTGCTCGCCATCAACGTTAGCGACCCAGACTACGGGGAGACTTCAACCTTGAGTGGAATTCTGGTGAGTAGTTTACCTCCACATGGGTATATCTCAACACTGCCCGTTATTTTAATAAACTTAAATGATCAAGAAATACCCTAGATCCCACCACAGTGACGTCGAGGAACTTAGTTCGGTGAATGTAAATGCATCCAAGAATAGAAGGGCAAGTCAAACTAGAGGGGTTAATCGCATGATGCTGATGACGCTATGTCTCCTGAAAGCAGACGCCAAAATAACATCAGAAGAAAAATTATCATTTAGATTTTTTCAGAACGTAATAATGAAGGAAAGTCATCTAGGAACGAAATTCGAGCACTATCTCACGTTAAGTATTGATACCAGCCCAGTGAAAATTTACAGACGCGGCAGCTTCTGATTTGGATTACAGAGGCTGGGGCGACTCTAAATTTTGTTAGCGAGCACCTTGGCGGCGCCGCAAGTCAGATGTCATGTTGATATGTTATGGCCTAAAATCAACCCCCAGATGCTATATACTTCATAATCTGTACCAGAGTATTTTATTATACTGATTACTATAAACATTGCCGAGGTTGTCTCATGTATCCATGGTTTTGTCGCAAGTAACTGTCTCTTACTTTCGTAGCTCAATACTTTTGACGACCGATTTGCCTTACGCCGAAATGTCGGATGCGAGACAAGTTCCTGTGAGCTGATCACATTTTTCCTCGTGGTGGCCAAGACCCTCGACTATGAAATAAATGATATCTTCTATGAAATTGAAGCCAAATTTACGGTGAGAACGTAATGCTCTTCAGCCAAAAATTCAGGTTGCCAACAGATAGGTAGCACAATGATAAGTATCCATCCAAGCAAAGATGTCTACCAATTTCTCTGAAAATTTTATAAATTGATTAAAAATCATTACGAAATACAGAGCTATCCTATTCTAATTAAGAAAAGTTCATAATTTCCAATGCCTCCTGATTGCATGATACTAAAAGTATATTTTGCGTATAAATGAATAAGTAAGAATAATGACTTTAAAAAAACAGTACAATTTCCTTCAAAGATTACTTCTCCAAGGTCTCTAACTGAAATGTAGTAAACATTGTGAAACTATAATCAATAAATTAGTTTGTTAAGCTAATACCATAACAGAATTCGGGTACCATCTAGGCTTCTGCCCGATACTCGCTACACTCGATTTGAAGTTATTCTGGGTCTGCTCGGCCACCCAATCTAAATCAGTTTCTGTTCAGAATCTCTTTTCCGACTCTGTAGTCGCTTGAGAGTATGAGAAGGGTTGCCGAGCCGAGGCACACCAATTAAGCTAGCAAGCTGCCCAGAGGCTGCGCTCCAAATCCGGAGCCAAAACGGACATGGAACGGCTGGTTTACGTTCTCCCCGTGTCCTAGGTGGCACCTAATGCAGAGTCGAGCCCACCTCTAAATTTAATTAGGGGAAAATGCGAAAAAAATTATCTACAAAGAAAGATCGAATAATAATTATTATACAAAATTTCATCAGGAAGTCAAAGAAAATTCTGATCAAAGTTATCATATCAGAATTTTCTTTTTTTTTGTCTCAGAGATGTGGGGTTACGTAGAGTAACTTTAAAGTTTGCCGAGGGACGCAATGCGTCGTGAATATGTTAATTCTAAAGTACGAGTACAATGCGCATTTTATATTTTCCGAAAATGGGAATCTACAATGCGAAACATGGAAGCTAGTCTACAAATTTTCCTTTCGTCAAAATCGTATTCATTCTTTTTTGAAGTTAGTAAAGGTATAACCTATTCCAGTCTTCTGACTCCCGAGGAGGCCAGAGCTGGACGCAGATTGAGGTGGTGTTGTTCGTCAATGACTTGCCAGACTCCCCGCCCTTCTGGCTCCAGATCGTGCCGACCGTCTCGGTGCAGGAGTCAGACGAAGTGGTGAGTGAGATTAGTGTATTATATTAGAGTGGTGAGTCAGATACATGGCTGATCGTCTTGGATGTAGAGTCAAACTATGTATTAAAGCGGATCCACGGCTGACCATCTTGGATGTACATAGAGTCAGACCAAGTATCAAAGCGGATCCACGGCTGACCGCCTTGAAGGGAGAGTGAAACAAAGCTCAGGAGCAGATCCACCCTTGACTCCTTGTAGAGGTGAAGTCAGACCAACTGAAGGAATACTCTAGTTCAAACCATATGCTCTAGTCCCACCCTTATGCTTTTTCTACCCTTATGCTCTAGTTCCACCCTTATGCTCTGGTTCTACCCTTATGCTCTGGTTCCACCCTTATGCCCTACTTAATTCTACCCTTATACCCTAGTTACACACTCATAGCCTTGTTCCACCCTTACGCCCTAGCTCCACTCCCAAGTCACAGCTACCCCTTATCCTCCAAGTTCCATATTCATCCTTCAGTATCCCATTCATTCCACAGCTTTCCTGTCATGCCCAGCTCTCCTTCTACGACCAACCTCCCCTCTTAAGCCCCACGTCCCCTACCTTGCTTACGTCTCTTATCCTGTCCCACATCTCCTATCATGCTCCACGTCCCTCGTCATGCCCACGTTCCTTACCATGCCCCACGTCCCCTATCATGCCTACGTCCCCTATCATGCCCACGGCCCCTATCATGCCCCATGTCACCTATCATGCTCCAGCTCCCCTCTTACGCCAGTAGCATTATATTTATTCCTCAGGGCAGGGAAGTGTTCAGTGTGTTGGCTAGAGATCGAGACATCAGCATCGACAACGACATCAACTATGACATCACTAATGGCAAGTCGGCATATTGACGACAACATTCATTTATAACATTATTATGACGAATATTCTTGGAATAGCCACCAATATCGAATTTGTGAAATTCACTGAGGTTTATGGGTGACTAGTACTGCTAAATCGTGTTTCCCATTATCATTGTTTATCAAATGCGTCTCATTTGTTTAGTATAAAAGTATTATTTTCTCGACAGTTAACTTCGCCTGCAACTTGGAAATAATGCTAACGTATCCAAGATAAACGTCTTTAAGTCTAATTCAATTGGATTGTCAAATGACGATTCAGAATGGCATTGATATTATCGATTCTCTGTTGAGATTAATTCATCTGCCATACAGCCAACAATTTTTCTCTTTCACTATTTCATACTCAAATTTTACCCACCATTGAAACACGAGTTTCAACTATAGGAGTTTAACTCGCGATGCGCCGGTATTTACAAATTCACCTTTTCGCTGAACTTAATCTGGAATTCAGTTTTTCCGAATTAAACTTGAAATTTGCTCCTTTAATGACTTAAGCTTGAAATTAAAATCTTTTCGTTCCGAGTACCACAAAACTGGAGTAAATTGAAAAATCCCAGCAGGTAAAATGAGTCACAACTAAATAAAATTCAATAAAATGAAGCCTTTTGTGGCTGATACCGTGATTCAACTCTGTTCGAAAAGAACGCTTCATTTACAATTTATTTCACAGTTGCATTAAACGTAAATTTCTTCTAACATCATTATGGTCGCCAAATAATAAACTTCATTTCTTGTTAACTCTGTTTAGATGAGCTATACCGTCTATTTCACGATTTCGTTTCTGTTAACTTTCTTCAAAAGGAAAATAACGTCCATTTCATTAAATTCATTGTCCATTTTTTGTTACTTTTTCCCTGTACCGTCTATTTCTGCCTGGATTTAGGCAACGATGAAGGCTACTTCGCAATAGACGCAGTGACGGGCGTCGTGACAACAGCCAAGGCGATAGACAGGGAGGTTCTGTCAGCGACGTTCTTCAACCTGGAGATGATGGCGTACGAAGTCCTGGCAGACGGCAGCTTGGCACCGGCCCCTAATAACGTGACTCAGGTACGAGAAGCACTGGAGACCACAAGCCCCGGTACGTGAGACCAAGTAGGTCTCACGTATACGTGTTGAACGCGACAACGTAATTGTGAGACGTATACGTGTTGAACGCGACAACGAAATTGTGAGATGTATACGTGTTGAACGCGACAAGCATGACGCAATTGTGAGACCTACGTGATGAACGCAACATGTATGTCGTTACCGAGACCTACGTGGTGCACGTAAGACATTCATCGCGTTTTTCATCGGACACACGCGATAAACGTTATACAGGGTGCGCCACAGAAACTTTATACTTATTTGAAAGGTCAATAAAAACAAAAGTACTTCAGTTATTGTTTTAATAACTTTGAGAAACAAACTTGGGAACTTTCCCCTTCAGATGCACCCCCTCTCGCCCCTCTACCCGACCAACTAACCGCACAGGAATTTTTTCAAATAAGTAAGTTTCTGTGGCGCACCCTGTACGTTTTCATTGCGCATGGCGCAGATGTGATGTACGTGATATGTGTGCGATATGTGACGTGAGATGTATTAGTTAGGCGTGAAACATGCATGATTTAAGTGGACCTACGTGATGTACGTACCACGTTAATGGTTTGTAAAAATGCGAATTATTCTTTCACAAATGAGATAATTTAATTAAAAAAACAACGTTTACGCTTTACAAAGTATAATTAACAACCACGAGAACAAGTCTACCCTCACGTTCACGGTAGACGACCAACATGCAAGTCACTGACGTTACAAACGGAGTTTGTATAAATGAAAATTATTCTTTCACAAATGAGATAATTTAATTAAAAAATAACGTTTACGCTTAACAAAGTATAATTAACAACCACGAGAACAAGTCTACCCTCACGTTCACGTAGATGACCAACGAGCAAGTCATGCATTGACGTTACAAACGGAGTTTGTAAAAATGAAAATTATTTTTTCACAAATGAGAAAATTTAATTAAAAAAACGTTTACGCTTAACAAAGTATAATTAATAACCACGAGAACAAGTCTACCCTCACGTTCACGGTAGCTGACCAACGTTCAAGTCATTGAGGTGAACGACTGCATACCGCAGTTCACACAAATTCAATAATTCTTTCAATAATTTATATAAAAAACAATTACGCTTAACAAAGTATAATTAACAACCACGAGAACAAGTCTACCCTCACGTTCACGTAGCTAACCAACGTTCAAGTCATTGACGTGAACGACTGCGTGCCGGAGTTCACGCAAATTCAATAATTTTTTCAATAATTTATATAAAAAAAGAATTACGCTTAACAAAGTATAATTAACAACCACGAGAACAAGTCTACCCTCACGTTCACGTAGCTAACCAACGTGCAAGTCATTGACGTTACAAACGGAGTTTGTAAAAATGAAAATTATTCTTTCACAAATGAGAAAATTTAATTAAAAAAACGTTTACGCTTAACAAAGTACAATTAATAACCACGAGAACAAGTCTACCCTCACGTTCACGTAGCTAACCAACGTGCAAGTCATTGACGTGAACGACTGCGTGCCGGAGTTCGGAGCCGCCGCCATGAACGTGACGATGTCGGAGCTGACGGCGCTGGCGGGGGGCGGGTCTGTCGTCATCGCCTACATCACCGTGGCTGATCTCGATGAGGTACGGTAATGCTATATACGCATCTTATATTGCTTTCTGCGTATATAATAATAAGTTATATGGTTGCGAATGCATGTAATATTAGGTTATATTGTTATATACGCGTCTTATATTGCTTTCTGCGTGTGTAATATCATGTTATATGGTTACATACGTAGTTAATAGTAGGTACGGTAATGTTATATCTACGCATCTTATATTGCTTTCTGCGTACATAATATTATGTTATATGGTTACGTACGCAGGTAATAGTAGGCCGTAATGCTATATCTACGCATCTTATATTGCTTTCTGCCTATATAATAAGTTTATGGTTGCGAATGCATGTAATATTAGGTAATGTTATATCTACGCATCTTATATTATGTTATATGGTTACGTACGCAGGTAATAGTAGGCCGTAATGCTATATCTACGCATCTTATATTGCTTTCTGCCTATATAATAAGTTATATGGTTGCGAATGCATGTAATATTAGGTAATGTTATATCTACGCATCTTATATTGCTTTCTGTGTATGTAATATCATGTTGTATGGTTACGTACGCAGGTAATAGTAGGCCGTAATGCTATTTACGCATCTTATATTGCTTTCTGCCTATATAATAATAAGATATATGGTTACGTACGCAGGTAATAGTAGGTTATATTGCTATAAACGCATCTTATATTGCTTTCTGCGTATGTAATAATAAGTTATATGGTTACGAATGCAGCTAATAGTAGGTTGTAATGCAAAAACTTGGCTGACTGACCTTAACCCAAATTCCTATAGTATAGCAACGCCAATTCTACAGATTCAGCAAACTGGTTGTCGCTTCTATAGAATCGGCAATTTCGCGATTTCGGCACGATATATACAATGCATGCTGCATAAGTGTCTCCTGGTACAATAATTCTAACCATAGTGATAATTCAATTTTTATTAGTAATAATAATAATAACCATAGAAATTCTAACCATAGTAATAATTGAATTTCCATTAGTAATAATAATAATCATAGAAATAATTCGGTTATAATTTCTCTATGGTGCAGGGTCAAGCTGGGGAGTACGAGCTTTCCAGTTCACAGCCTCAACACGTTGCGTTCAGTCCGCGTTCTGGCTCCGGGGAAACTAACTTCACGGTCACGGCTCTCTATGTCCCTGATAACAACATTTACGACTATGATTCAAGACCAGACGATGATTACGACATCATTATTGAGGTAACTAGTCTTAAATAGGTAATGTCTTAAAATAATATAGGTAGTCTTAATATAATAGGTAATAATTAAGTATAGGTAATAATAATTAAATAATAGTCTTAATAGGTAATAGTCTTAAATAGTGTAGGTAACTAGCAATTAATTGCGATGGATGTTTCAACTTCGTTGCAAGTAAATAGGTAAGGAACTACGACTCGAAACCACTAAAAATTTACATGGGTTTAATACCATCGCGAGCTATAAAAATGTTAATTGGTAGAAATATGGTGAAAACGGAATGGTAATTAAATCATTTGAATGGATACTGCTAAAATTACAAAGTTTCTTTCTAGGATCTTCAAAATAGAAGAAGTGGCGAATAAATAGGATTCAATGCAGACATTAAAAAAAATTTCAATGATTTTGGCACGTGCATTCATTTTAATTTCTAACCTAAAAAATAAACTGGTAACACATTTTTTTCCCTCAGGTCAACTTTATGATGGTAGTAGACCTCTCACACGTCAGCTCTACCACTCTAATCATCACACTCATTATCTTCCCTCAGATCGTCGCTACGGAGGTAAAAGACCCCTCACACGTCAGCTCTACCACTCTAATCATCACACTCATTTTCTTCCCTCAGATCGTCGCTACGGAGGTAAAAGACCCCTCACACGTCAGCTCTACCACTCTAATCATCACACTCGAAGACGTCAACGACAATTATCCTGTCTTCATATATTCACAATACAACGTTTCGATTTTCGAAAACTTATCAAATGGATTGCCAGTGACCAAAGTTTTAGCGAAGGATGACGACAAGTCGGATGAGTATGGCACTGCTAGTTTAAGGTAAGTTTCTATAAAAGCGTCATTAAGATTCAAATTCTTCTAACTACGTTAGAAATATTTTTGATACTCCGTGAATTTCAAAATCGAGTTTAGAGGTTTAGTTTAATTTTCAATAAATTATTATTGATGAAAATAATTCAGTATCGTAATTCAGCATATTATACGATTTACTCTAAACAAGTGCACACATCATAACTATTTCATTGCTATTAGTATGATACAGATTCAAAGAGGAGGTTCTAGTTGAATCTTATTGGTGTTGCTGTTGAACAGCATTGAGGCGGTGTAGGCAAAGTTGAACTTTATATCACTTACAAGTTGAAATTGTCTCATAACCACCTACACGGCTCGGAAACTTAGCAGCGAGTGAATGCAAGTTACGGCGTCTGCAAATACGTACTAGAGTAATTATGAAATAACTCCTTAATTTGATAATTTCTGTAATGAATCGATTTCTTAAATTGGGGAAGATTACCATGATGCTTTGGATTAATTATAATGACGAACAGCAAAAAAAAACGTATTCATTTGTTTAAGTTACATGTAGCGGCAAGTGCACGTTTTAAAGTGCTTTGATCTGATTACTAATGATAAAGCGCTGATAAATGATCTATTGATGTATTAACGCAATCAATTTGCAGATACTTCATGTTCAACTGTGACTCGTATTTTACCATCAATGACGTGACTGGAACAATAACCGTGACTGGGCAGCAGAATTTGGACTATGAGCAACGTGACACAATTGAGTGCAATTTAGAAGCCCGAGATCTGGAGGGAGGAACTGGATACCTGAAAGGAACGTCGACGTTGATCGTGAAATTGGTAGATGTGGACGACACTCCCCCCGACATTGCAGTCATGGTCAGGACCCAGAGGCTTAACTCATTTTCTTCAAATGAATTCATACATCAGTTTCAGTAGTTGCATTTCAAAACTTTAGATTTTGATTGTGAACTTGGATATATTTATCTACGTGCGACTCTCCATATTTTCCCGCTAAATATGAGCCCAGACTTTGGTCGCTCTATATAGTTGATCAAGTGCGACACTGGTAGATGAGATTAATTAACTATCATGTAATTTATTAGCATCATATTAATTAAAAACACTGCACCTGTATTTGTGACCATCTGTGGAATTGATATCAATTTAAGCTGCAGACCAGGAATTTTTTGGAAATATCTTGAAGTTTTCGTTCAGGGCCTATACTTTCAAAAAAAGTTAAGAGATCGTAAGTTCATCAGCCAATCATCGACGGCCTTTCAAGCCAAATCCACCAATCATAGACAAGAAAATAGAGCGTAAGTACTAACGTTCACTTAGCGAGTTTTGAAAGTATGGCCCCTGGTTCTTGACGACCACAAGGATCGCGTTTCATCCTTTAATTAACTCAGGGTTAGATTCATATGATCCCAATTCTCTTCCTCACAGTTAAACTGACAATTATTATTCAAGTATCGTAATGTATTTTGAAGCTTCACTGTGATACAAACGTTTGAAACAACTTTTACTTACAATCCAGTAAATGTTGAAGTAGTAATGCCCTACAGATACCACATAATTGCCACGACTTTCTCAATACTGAGGAATTGAATCTGCTTCTATATAGAAAGTATAGTTAACCCGTCACTTTCGAAACGTTCGAATGAGAAACTGAAGCAGACTTTCAGTAATTTCCCAATTGAAAGAGTTTCCGGGTAAAATAATTAGAATCAAATAAAGACTTCTAATCAAAAATAAAGACTTAATTAAGCACGATATTTTCCTGCGATGTTGTTGTCACATTTGTTGCGATGTACATTCATGTATATTTATGAATTACTTTACGCTGTTAATTGTAGTGGTCACGATACAAATATCGCATTTAAAAGGATTTAATTTCTTTCAGTCAACCTCGTACGAAGTGTTAGAGAACGAGACTGTAGGCAGCGTACTGATGTCGGTCTCGGCTACAGACAAGGACACCGACGCCGCGGTTAACTTCTACATCATTTATGAGGACAATAACCAGCCAGGTGTCGAAGAGTGAGTTGCTTCATTAAGATTAATTTATTTGACCGTTGAGAATGTAAGGGTACGCACACAGTGAATGCAGGTTGCCAGCGTGCTGGTTACCTGCTCAGGCTGGCGCCTGAAATCATAGAATACAGAAGCCTATTCGTACAGGTTTTCACTGTGAACACTTACATTATTATCCTATGTCCATTCTTGTGGCAGGTTGGGAGCAGGTTGCCCGCGCGGGCAAACCTGCTTCCACTGTGTGCGTACCCTTATAAAGCCTAAATGCATGGAGGTTTTCTTTTGAGCACAAGCCTTCAATATTAGACTTGTTATTTGCTAAAATGATAACTATTAGGTTATTGTTACATTAGGAATTTAATAAATATTTATATGACGTACTTGACGAAAACATTCGTACGGATTTTATAATTAACTTCAAACGTTGTTGTAATTTCAATTATTGATTTATGCACGATTCTGTTTCATAAATCTCGATGTCAGTTGGTTTATCATCGAAGCTCGACCATGTGAGGAAGAAGAAGGCGACTTCTGCGCCGACGTTAAAACAAATGCCGAGCTCGATCGGGAGACGCAAGACAAGGTGGCTATCAAGATCATTGCTGTTGACAACAACACTGCCGTGAACGCTGCAACTGATTCAGGTGGGAATTTTTTTCTGGGTTACAAACTTAGGTTGAATGTGAACACAAGAAATGAATGTATTTTCTATATACTAATCTGATAGAATGAACGCTAAAACTGAGTGTTAACTAAACTATATAAATTAAATGGTCGTTACAGGCTCAACGTTGTAGCACGTAGTAAACTCCGCATAGTAATAAAACGTAATAAGATATTGATGTGATATAAATGAAGCCATAAAACGTAGTAGACTCAAAGTTTCTACCTCTCAGTGGTCGAATCTAAGTACTAATTCAACCTAGATATCTCGACGCAAATATCTCATCGTAGTGAGAAGATATTAATAATTCTTCGTAGTAGCTCAACGTTTATGAATAAGCGTTGTGATTCATGAAAAAAACATGAAAATTCATGAGTGTCAAATTCATGAAAATCATATGTCTCTGACGCACTCCTTGATTGCTGCAGTTGACGTGACCATAATTTTGCTGGACGTTAACGACAAGACGCCCGTCTTCTGCGACACCTGTGCCCAGGACGACTCTGTCTACGAGAACTCGCCGAGCGGATCCTTGATCGCTAGGATCTACGCAACCGACAAGGATCTTGACGATACTCTGACCTACGATTGTAGGTATGATGATTTATCCTACTATACGTACGATTAGGTATGCTGGTCTATCCCACTATACGTACGATTAGGTATGGTGGTCTATCCCACTATACGTACGATGGCAGGTATGCTGGTCTATCCCACTATACGTACGATGGCATGTATGCTGGTCTATCCCACTATACAGTGGGGGGAAATAAATATTCGTACACTTGAAAAATCGTATTTTAATGTATGTAAGTACACAAACTTAACAGGAAAAGTGATTTAAATTATGTACCATAACATTGCTGGACGTTAACGACAAGACGCCCGTCTTCTGCGACACCTGTGCCCAGGACGACTCTGTCTACGAGAACTCGCCGAGCGGATCTTTGATAGCTAGGATCTACGCCACCGACGAGGATCTTGACGATATTCTGATCTACGATTGTAGGTAATATGATTTATTGTACTATACATTGGATGGCAGGTATGCTGATCTATTCTAATACGTACGATGGCTGGTATGCTGAAATTTCCTACTACTTGACTACTGTATGCACGATGGCACGTATGCGGGCCATTCGTACTACACGTACGATGGCAGATTGTCATGCCTACTTCAATGAGTATGACCAGCGCTCCCCCACTAGTCTATTACTCACACACGCCGGTGAGTGCACTCATCACACTCAGGGTGAGTTGAACATAAGTTGAACATAATCTACCAGCCGATCTACAGAAACTTTAATCCTAAAGTACATGATAACAAGCGCGGCCTTTGAGAGTGAAATGGTTTAGTCTTTGCACCAGTACTGGACATCGGGAACAGTTCGCATCACTTTAATCCGTCGTGTATGTGGAAATATTTTTGTTTAACAGTTTGCAAAAAATTTCAATTCCTCTCGAGTTAACTTTACTTGAAATTTTTGTATCTAAAGTAAGGTTCAATTAAGTGTGAATGTCTCTACCGTTTGGTTAAAAATATTCTTCTAGGCTTCAAAATATTCAATTGGTTCATTTCATGTGAAATTACTATTTTTTGTTGTGACGTTGTTTTGCAATAATTATGTAGGAACAAAATTATTCTCGAGCAGCAATTTAAACGTCAATCGTTGATTTTAAGACAATTTTTCATCGCCTGAGAAGGAATACAAAGCTATTAAAGTCAAAATTTACCAAAAAAGTGTTCCAAATGCACCCCGGTGAAATTAATCAATTTTAAATGGAGGTTGGTTAATTGAACTGTGAAGCGGCTGTGAGTTACGACTTTATTTTTATAATTTATTTTAATTAAACTCGGGCAGTTCTTGCGACACCGTTGTACTGGATAATTCGACGGGCGCCTTAACTGTTGGAGTAAACTCCATTGATCGGGAGACCCAAGCCTACATCAACGTAACCATCACGGTCACCGATGCTGCCGGCCACTCCGCAGTGATGGAGGCAAGAGCAAGGCTGCAAGTGCCACCATCTTAAGTTTTTTATTGCTGCGTTAAAACGAACGTTTATTTGTGATTTTAATAATTTTTTAAAACAAGGCACTTAATTGTTGTATAAATTTCTACAATTTTGTTGGAGGTGTAACGGATATTTCCCGTTCCGGCGTGAGATATTTTGTGATATGGTTAAAACACGCAATTCATGCATTCGTTCATTGATTGAACGCTGGAACATTCATGTTTATTTATTGACTGAACTGTTCAGTTATTAATTAGCTGAATTTGTTTAGAATTGGAAAAGTGCGAAACACATGCATTTAAACATTGACTGAATTGCTTAGTTCTAAGAAAAGGCTTTTTCGGTGACTCCATAAATTGATTTTTCATCTTGACGTATACATGATAAGGCTTATCCATTCTCAATATTAAAATAAATTCTTTCAGGTCACAATAACCGTTAAAGATCGGAATGATGAACCTCCGGTTCTGGACGAAGCTTTATGCGGTAAAACTTACGACGTCTTCGAAAACGCTGACAACGGAACGCACGTCGTGACGATGACAGCGACGAACAAAGATGAAGGTAATTATTACAATTTTTGTCGAGGAAAGTAGGACCTTAATTTTTGGTAGAAACTGGATCGCTAAAATCACATTAAAGTGACTCAAATTATTGAAGGATTCGAAGATAAACTACTTTGTTGAAGGCCCCTTGCAATTGCAAAACGATTCATTGTAGTTACGAGAAGTGATATCAGTTTATATAAAAATTACAGAAACTTTCCAGTTCGTTTACATTAGCCAATTATTTAATGAAAATTAGTATAATCAAACTCACGCTTCATTAAATAATATTTTTCTTACTCTATATTTCTTTTTTTTTCTTTCGTTATTCTATTTTCCGGTAGAAGTTCAAAAAATTATTTAGTTGTGAAAATATTTTTATACAAAATTCTCCATTTATCTTGCATCAATAATAATTGTTATTAATCATTTCAGTTTACAAACCGAAAACATGGCAGTCTTGCAACCAAAACTACGTTTCGTATTTCAAACCTAGCAAGCCAATTGTTCCAGTTATACCACAGTCCAAGTTCCATATTTCCTAGAGCCGCGCACGACAGTCCCGCCACCCAAAATAATGCTCATGCTGACGCGCTTTTTAGCGCATTAGTTTTCTCATTTATGAAAAAAATAGCTCAGTACTCACTGCAGTGAGTGCCAGAGAGCGCATTTTCTCGTCGACGAAACCATGAAGTCACGGACGGACAGACGGACGGACATGACGAGCACAATAGTACATTTTTTCATAAATGAGAAAATGCGCTAAAAAGGCGCTATTGTGCTAATCATGTTCGTCCGTCTCTCCGTCTGTCTGTCTGTCTGTGACTTCACGTTGCCGAGCATCCATGATACTCGGCAACGAGAAAATGCGCTCTCTGTCACTCACTGCAGTGAGTACTGACTACTGAGTTATATTTTTTACCCAAGGTGCGCATGCAAAAATCAGCTACATTCTGACGAAGGTGGTGGGCGGTACCGGCCCCTTGAGTCCCTTTGCCATCAACGTCGATACAGGTTAGATCATGGCTGAACTAATAATAATTCTAGTTGAACTAGTAATATAGGCTGAACTAATAATATAGGTTGAACTAATAATATTAGTTAAAATAATAATATTCGTTCAATTGTGCGAATTTCAGTAGTGCTAATTGATTGTGTTTGAATTCTATAATCTTCGAAAAGACGATATGATTGCTCTCCGAAATGTTTTGTATAAAAAAAATTTAAAATGCGATAAATTTCTGTGGCATTTCCTATTCTTTCAAAATCTTAGATTATAGACGTCAACAGATGCATCGTTAAATAAAATAAAGTTGGAAATTAAGATTAAGGAAACAAATTGTTTTTGTTCCAGGTAAAATAGTTGTGAACGTGGGTAATGGAATTAATCTGGACAGAGAAGAGACCGCTACATGGGTGCTGCATGTACAAGCCATCGACAACTGTGAATTGAACGAGCCCAGCTGTACAGGTGGGAAATAAGCTCCCATTGATTGAAAATTTACAGACGCGGCAGCTTCTGATTTGGATTACCAGAAGCTGGGGCGACTCTAAATTTTGTTAGGGAGGGGACGTGCGCTGCAAATATGGCAAACTTCAAATAACTTGTAGAACTTTGAATCGTGTGCACTCATACCTTCAAACTTGATGCAATTAACCTTTTTTGGTTCAAAGATGGGATTTGAAATGTTTTTGATGGTAATTGTATTTATATGTGTGTTTTCTATACAATGAATCGCATTACAGTGTGAAGAAACGTCGTAAAGATTTGTTTCTAATATTCACCAAGCACTCACATATCAATAGTAATTGGGAGTGGATAAACTTAAATATTAGATTTTATAATCGTATAGGGTAATTAGATCGATGTTCATTCTACCTTAAGCATTGATTTCGGGATTTCGATTCCTAAGCTACTGGAAGAAACATGCACCGTTCAAATCATCAGACATGAATATATCCGTTGTGTGGATATTTTCTTAGTTATTAGGTTGTGCACCAGTGGTGAAAATTGCCTGTTTAAGTTGAAATGTTGTTGAACCTTGCAGAAAGGACCAGCGCTTGCAACATAACAATTGACGTTCAAGACGAGAACGACGAGACGCCCTACCTACCCGCCCCTCTCACCTTAACGGCAAACGAGGCTCAAGCAGCGGTAAGGTTTAGAAGCAATTTAAGCTCATTCGCGCCGTATAAAATTTTCACGGCAATTTGTTTAGAAAAAAAATATTTATTTTTCCAAATGAAAAAATATATATATTTATTCATTAATTTTATTTAGATCTATCTGCTGCAGCGTGATGAAAATTTTCTATTTAGATCGCTGCTTGATTTCTAAATAAAAAATATTTATTAATTCTTTTTTTTTTATCTCTCTGCTTGAGAGCATAAAATATGTTCTACCTCCAGTCAAAGTATCATCAAACAAATCGTATTAGCAACATCGTGTGACTTGCACAATGCAAATAGAATGTTTGGTACACGTTTTCTTTGAGTCTTTCAATTTTGAATGACTCTTCGTTAATTAGCAACAATCCTGCAAAAAAATCTGAATTAGCCATAGATTGCGTCGAGTGCAATGTACGTATCATTAATAAGCAAATGAAAAATATTCGGATTTCTTAATTTTTCCGGTTTAGTGATTTCTTTCTGTCATGCTGAAATGCAAACTTACGAATATACGCTTTCATTGCTGGCTAAACTAGAATCAAGTGAAAACAAGATTTATTTCAATAGTTCAGATATTGTCTCAAATTAATTTATTATCTTTAATAATTACCCATTTTTTTCATTTCAATATTTAACCCGATTTTGTTCTAACTGTAAGTTAATCACAAGTGAACAGGAATCAAGTTCAACGAATCTCAAAAGTAATTCCAGATTTAATAACGCCATTCTAGTTTCCATGATTAAGCAAGACAATTAATTAGTTAACTAACATCACAATGTAAACTTGTATGTTAGTGTATCGGTAAATCACCTGGACTCTCACCAGCCTATCTCGAACTGATTCCTCACTGGTTTGAGAGAAATTAATAAGTTACATTTTAAAATACTATACATAAATACGATGAGTGTTATCGAGTGCTAAGGCAACCTCCTGATTCAAGGTGTTATGCTGGAAGGCTCTTTTAAATCTATATAAAACTATACTCGTATTAAATGATATTTTTAATTTAGGAAGTGAAAGTGGAAGATTCGGATATTACCGCCACCGACGACGATCAGGAGGGTACTGCAGCTTCGGCGATTCTATACATGGTCACGAATTTTGTGGTCTCTGGATCTGGAGAACCGGTGACACCGATACCTTTTGAAGCGGTGAACTACAACGAATCTAATAAATGGTCTTGTTTGTGAGTATAACTGCTTTTGTACTGAACTTCAAAGACAGAGTTAGACATTAGAGACCGTATCCTACTAATAAATAAACGAATCTGAATAACCATGCTTGTAGCTTGTGTTAATCTATCAGAAATTAATGCTCAGTTTTGAACTTAATTCTTTACGTTGGGTGTATCACCGTAACTTAAACTAATTATCATGCATTCATTTCTAAGATACTTTGTAATCTTTTCAGCTTGACCACGACCAGCGATCTCACGCACATGGCAGGCTACTATAACTTAACGATCAATGTAAGCCATCTTTCAACCAGTTTACTTTGAAATTTGCTAAATCTTGCTAATCCTACTTCGATTTTCTGCTCTGTGCATCATTACAGAATTTTCTTCGATTTAAGATATACGGGAATATTAGAATAATAAAATAAATAGCAAACAAATTATAATCATTTTACGTAACAGCATTTTACGTAACAATAATGTACAATCAACTACGTCTCTACTCAGGCAATGGATCAGACAGATCCATACAATTCAGCACAACTAATTGTTAGGATGCAAATCACCGACTCCAACGACTACGAGCCCGTCATCAACATCGAAGGATGTTTGGCAGAGAATGATCAGCAAGTTAACATCTCAGAGGTATTGGAGCAACCTCACTCAGTGAAATGAGTTAGTCTTTGTCTAAACAGCGATGCACTTTTTATTAGCGCATTTTCTCATTTATGGAAAAATGCACTATTGTGCTCGCCATGTCCGTCTGTCCGTCTGTCTGTCCGTCCGTCCGTCCGTGACCTCAAGTTTTCGTCGACGAGAAAATGCGCTCTCTGTCACTCACTGCAGTGAGTACTGATTTGAAATTATGTACGACCCAATTTGGCCTAGCAAAAGGGCGTACCAATGCAAAATCCGCAGTCAGCTCTTGCTGCGGGTGAAAAAGTGTGTTATGGACAATATGACCTGTTAATTAGTAGAGTGAATAACATACATTAATGAAATACCTATACGTAATCGATGTTATACTAAATTATTCTCTTTGTTATTGTGTTTGTGACTCATATCTTTGTGTTTAGCTATACAATGCTGTTCGTACATAAAATGAACGGTGAAAGTGAATGATGGTGTCAGGTTAACTTCTGATTTTCAGTCCACATACGGAGGAGGAGACTGTCTACACTGTTTATATTTTCAGTCCACATACGGAGGAGACTGTCTACACTGTTTATATTTTCAGTCCACATACGGAGGAGACTGTCTACACTGTTTATATTTTCAGTCCACATACGGAGGAGGAGACTGTCTACCCTGTTTTTATTTTCAGTCCATATACGGAGGATGAGACTGTTTACCCTGTTTATATTTTCAGTCGACATACGGAGGAGGAGACTGTGTACCTTGTTTATATTTTCAGTCCACATACGGAGGAGGAGACTGTCTGCCCTGTTTGTATTTTCAGTCCACATACGGAGGAGGAGACTGTCTACACTGTTTATATTTTCAGTCGACATACGGGGGAGGAGACTGTGTACCTTGTTTATATTTTCAGTCCACATACGGAGGAGGAGACTGTTTACCCTGTTTATATTTTCAGTCCACATACGGAGGAGGAGACTGTGTACCTTGTTTATATTTTCAGTCCACATACGGAGGAGGAGACTGTCTACCTTGTTTATATTTTCAGTCCACATACGGAGGAGGAGACTGTCTACCTTGTTTATATTTTCAGTCCACATACAGAGGAGGAGACTGTCTACCTTGTTTATATTTTCAGTCCACATACGGAGGAGGAGACTGTCTACCTTGTTTATATTTTCAGTCCACATACAGAGGAGGAGACTGTTTACCCGATTTATATTTTCAGTCCACATACGGAGGAGGAGACTGTTTACCCTGTTTGGATGACTGGGACTAGGTAGAAGTGAGCTACACAGATAATGATGAAGACGCCCCAAACAACATAGCTACAATAGAGATCAACTATGACTACTCTATGATTTATCCTAATAATGCTCCTGGTGAGATCAAGTGAAAGGCTTTCTAGAAAAACCTTGGCTGAATTTTATTGTGAATTTTACTGGCTGAAAACTTAAATAGACTTCGCGATATTTTGCAAAAAAATCTCGGTAAAAAGATCTTGATTATTTTTTTAATAATACAGAATTTTATGGTAAGGGCGTATTTCCGTTTGCGAGCACAATGATTGGAGTAAGAAAATATTTCAAGTCTTAGCTTTGAAATATATTTTCCCTCATTATTTTTAACCTTCCTTGATGATAATTATACGAGACCAAACAAATACATAACAAGGATACTAGTAGCTCATAATTAAATAGAGCATTTTATAATAATTATAATATTACTAATATTATAGTTATAATATTTACATAATAATAACTTGCTGAGTTTATGGAACTTTGCGTTCTACAGGTCAGCTGGAAAACTTCATGATGGAAGCTGCGTCTAAACCAAATACGTTCAACCTTTGCCTCAAGTCTGACATGGTCGGCAATTTGAGTCGGACTGAAGCTTTGGCCTATAACGTGAGCAGTAACATGTTTAGTGAAGTATCAATTTATATTGTGAAGAAAATCTTGTGTAGCATTGAATCTGAAATTATTTCTATTGAACAAATACTGGTATAAAATCATACGTTATTAGTGGAAAATTAAAATTTTATACTTATAATGAAAAAAGTGAGCTGCTTCTTTGCAAAATATTATGTGAAACTTCATATCATTCATGAATCCAGTTGTAGGCGTCAATTATTCCCCTTAATTTTACATTGATTTTTACGTTAATTTTATTGGATCAATAGCAGATGACTTAGATTATAATAACTCCTTTCACGGTGGCTCAAATCAAGAAAAAAGAGTTTTATATAATTTTTAATCAGGGATTTAAACGACGAAATATACTTAGCTACCAGTAAAATAGCTTTTTGTTAAATGAAATTTCAATTATGATCGTAAATATCATCCATAATAGTTTTATATTATCTTTTATTTAGGCCAGTCTCCGAGTTCGAACCAGCGTTCTGCACCAACATTACCGAGTGCCATGGTGAAACCTACATTTTCGGTGAGATGTCACATTATAAAATGTAGAAATTTTAATAAATCACGTCGGTAACATTTTCCTACAAGTGTACTAGGAATTTTTCATCTTAAATATTACCATAACCGATATATTTATGAGTATGTATATTTTGGGGGTTTTTTGGTACGCGTTTACAAAAATGTGTTTTTTAATTTTCTCTGTAGAGGAAACAACGGACGCCGGAGAATTTAGGGCCGCTACAGACAAAGACAACCTCTACGCGGTCGATGACATCATTTATTATTACATCGTCGGTGGGTTGGCATAACATTATAAGATATGCATTATGCATTTATTATATAATTTAAGCATATAGTTCTTGGACACAGAAAATTATCATATAAAATAACAACCTTATAATCAACTCTTAATTTTTCTATCAAGCAGCTATTTCTGTAAACCCAATGAATTCAATTTAATTTCAATTTAATTTAGGCTTAAGGCTAATATTATTCTAACAATTATTATGTTAGTATTAATTCGAAATTTAAATAGGAAAGTCTAGAAATCACGAAAATATTAACCTGTTTTCATGAAATCGCAGGCTCTCTAGAGCCCAATTTCATCTATCAACGAGCTTATAACTGGCAAACATGTAGAATGTATTGAAGAGTTAGCCGCAAAATATAAATATAAAACCAAGTACTTTCCAGCACTTTTCTCATCGTTTCAACCTAAGTTAGCCCAGTGATTTTATAGTACAAAACAAGTAGTAAAGGGAGAGGCAAGGATACACATGCTTTGTAACTTTGAGAAACATTTTTTCGCGCAAGCAAGCTGTCCTAGATATTTTTGATCAGCAAGACCATCCATCATCAGTACTATACTAGCAATGTAAGCTCCATATAGGATCCTCGGAGAAAAACATGTCAATATAGCTAGGAATTGATTATACGCTTAGAGTCGACTTTCTGCCAAGCTTTATTAACCACTCTGTGATTTCTAATTAATGCCGTAGGTCAGGAATTTCCAAATTTTTGGATCCCCGACCCTGCAAAGCCGTTTGTGAAGCCACTCAACCCTCTGGATATGGACTCTGGACCTGGGGAGTATCTAGTACTAATACAAGCTACCAACAGCATGTTTCCTCCACCTTCTCAGGGTACTAACATCACTCCAACAACTACTGCCATGCTACAGGTGATCTTTAAATTCTCACTATAGTGTCTTAGGCAATACAATATAACTTTTTATCTCAACGTTTTCAAGATTACACAGATTTAGTACCCCGCGTGCTTTTGTTAATATCTTAGTTCTTTTACGTCGCATTTAGTTGACTACGGTATGTGGTCTATTATACGCTCCATACCCTTCGGTATATTTCTACATGACTAATGTTCGTAACAAATTTTGTTAGTTTATCCTTTTGTATCAAGAGAGCTTGACTTTTTTTTGCTATGATTGTTTGATATTCTGGATTCAATAGAGGCCTCGAAATTAGAAATTCAATTTCTAATTTCGAGCGGCCGACCCACTTACTCTGCTAAAGGTACGACCCTATACATTTTAACATTTTACACAAGCATTTTTGGCATCTATTGAGCCGCAGATTTAGTTTCATACTTCTATTGTTAATATACGAGAACTGTTAATAGATATTCGAATTTATCACCACTTTGAGGAGTTATTGAAATGTGCAACGTTGATATAGGCTTTCCTTCATCAACATTCTGCATGCATGAGGAGCCTGTGCTTTGTGAAACGCATAAATTGACGCTTATATATATCAACGTATAGAAGAGCTAATGCACAGTGCGTAGCGTCTGTAATGCTTCTATATATCTACATATTAAGAAGCACAGGCGAGTATTTAGCTCACATGTTATAAGGTCGAAACAGACATTCCAACGATTTTTTAAAGATGATTCCTGCAAAACATGCACGCGAACTTAAGTTCTATCTAAGCACGCTTGTGCGTGGTGGCAAGAATCGCGCTGCACTTGCTTGAAATACAACAAACATTTTCGGATGCCAAAATATGAATCTGGCACCATTGTAAAACACACGGTTCTAGATAAGCAAAACCCTCAGCTTAATTTATGCATTTCAGCTGAAAATTGTCCTCAGCTACAATATGTCCCAATGATCTTAATATTTTCATTTCCGCTAAAAGTTTTCCTCATCGACAATCTGTAACACTGATCTTAATAGTAGCATTTCAGCAGGAAATTATCATCAGCTACAATCTGTCTCAGTAATCTTAATATTTGTATTTCAGCTGAAAATTGTCCTCATCGCTACGAACGACAACGCACCGATATTTAGTCCTGAAGTTATCTAAGGAGAAAAGTAGCAAAGTTGATGCCTAAGTAGAAAAACGTACGCCCATGCAATGGTAAATGTGTATTTAAAGAGCAGATATTTATTGAACATGAACTCTTAATTGGTTTATGATAACATAATTGAATGAAAATTATCTTAATAAAAAAATGCAAACAACATTAATGTCTTTTCAATGCTGCAGGAAATCAAATTGCGCTTGGCACGGAACGCCAATCATTTAACACGTATTTGCGCGCTAAAAATTATATTTAAAAAATTAAATTGCATTACCGCCAAAAGTAAGAGTCTAGAGAAGAACGTAGAGAAGTAGGAGTATAGCACGAGGAAAGAGCCATAAGAAATAAAAACAACTCTAAAACAGAGCAAAAATAGAGCCGCGATTAGAGCGCGTAATGCAGCACATCTAAGTGCCTGCAATTCTGTTGTTGATGGTTACATTTGAAAAATCTTTTTAACATAAACTCCAGTTTTGCACAATTTTGGAGAATTACTGTAAGACAAAAACTGTTTCCTAACAAGTCACAATCCAAACTAATCCTGCCACTCACAGACGATAAATTTTACAGCAGGATAACAAGAGGCCCGCAATCAGAGCAGGAGTTTCGACCTGATATGACAACCTCGGCATTTCCTGCGAGCTAGAGGCCCTGGCACAGCAAAACAAATCTCAAACTATACGAAGTTGCCGGCAGATCAGAAGAGCGCTGCGTATCAAACACGACGGCTTTCGAATCGAATCTTCAAAGCAGAATGCGGCGTCATTTCCTCTAGAACAAATGGAGCATGATTCTAAAGCGGGATTTCATTCTGCGGGATGCATGCAAGCGGACCGAAAAACTTGCAAAATCTCTTTACCACACGTAGAAAATGGAAGAATATAACTGATAGAGAATAGTAAAAAACTTTCAAAATCTCTTTACCACACGTAGAAAATAGAAGAATATAACTGATATCGATATCTCGTTTACACCCGTTGACGATTTAGTTACATCAAAGCTGTTCAGTGTTATTCAAATGAGTATTCAAAGCCGTCAAAATCAAATCATAATAAAATTGCATGTATTTTCCCACCATTATATAACGTGCATAATTCGAGCATGAAGTAGAATACGGAATTTTCGGATTTTGTTCGCCAGCATTTCTAGATTTTCGTAGTGTTCTTGTCTGGATGAATTTCCTTTCTCACGCAATACCCTTTCATTCATCGCGTTCAGGATTGTCTGGAGGCGCACAAAGATGGAGTGACTAAATATAACAGATACTAGCACATGCACGAGTTCTGCTCAGGTCAAAATGAAGAAAGTGGTGTGCACGTTTCGGAAAAGGCACACAAATTTTATTAAATCAATATGTCCGGGATACGCACGATTATATATGTTTGATGCCAGAGTAGAAAGAAGTACGCTCATGCAGTGGTAGATCTGTTGTAAAAGAGCAGCATCGAATGAATATATGCCTGATAATATATGTAAGTTTTAAGCAAAAAAACATCTAATGTATATGCTGTCTTGAAATATGTCTTGAACATGAACTCTTAATTGGTCAATAAAAATACAATTGAATGGCAATTTTCTTAACAAACAAATGCAAAAAACATTAATGTCTTTTCAGTGCTGGAGGAAATCAAAGGACGTTTAGCACACAAACGGCAATCATTTAACATGTATTTCTGTGTTAAAAATTACCCTAAAAATTAAATTGAATTATACCGCTAAAAGTAAGAATCTAGAGGAGCACGTAGGAAAAGCCATAAGAAATAAAAAGTAGAGCACGAGGAGAGTATTTCTTCTCTTCATCGAGTAGAGCACGAGGAAAGAGACATAGGAAATAAAAACAGCTCTAAAACAGAGCAAAAATAGAGCCGCGATTAGAGCGCGTAATGCAGCACATCTAAGTGCCTGCAATGAACGCGCCGGTCCATTAAATCAAAGGACCATTACGGAGAAGCTCGTTTAGCAAAGCTCATCACAACTCCTGGGAGTGAACACAAACATAAAATTGTGTGCAAGATAATAAGTTAACTTTTAACAACGAGAGAGTCAATGCTTTATAAAGCGTTAAGCCGCCGTTCCATTAATGCATCGTGAGAGTGTATTATAGATGATGGTCCGAGCGCTGTCATACTGGCAGTTTTAAAAGGATTTGAGATCCGGTTACTAT